AGATTGGTAGGGGGGGGGGGGGGGCTCAGTGAAAAGGAAATGCTTGGCTCTAAATATTCTCGCTTTCTTTAGAATTTCGAATGGAATTGAGTACAATTTAAAGTCAGTGATTATAAAACATACCAAAATGTATTGACCTTTCAAACTGAAGTTCCAAAATCTCCGAGTGATGTACAATGTATTTCCCTGTCTTGTACATTTCCAACAATGAACAGAGCGAGCCAGAAGCTCTAGGCGAAAAATGTGTGACGTCACGGCTCGGCGCGGCGCTCGGCGCGATGTCACGGTGGAAGGGTTCAGCGAGGTCTTCGCGGATTTGGTTGGTAAAAGGGAAAGACTTGCCTTGTCAAGGTATCACTTCTAAGATAACCATTGGAATGTTTTCTGGTAGAACAAAGAATGGTTTATCAACAAGGGTAGTTAAAAAAATATGGCAAGTACATCCCAAATAATCAATGGTCATAAATTGTGTAAGATTATATTTGAGCAGCCCCTTTTTATTTTGGATCATACCCATCAGGCTCCCTACGTCACGCTTATGGAGTAATTAAACGCTAATTACAATTTTACTCTGAATGTTTGTTGCTTATTTATTGATTCTACATAAACTATAAAAAAAAAATGATACCTCAGTAGTTACGATACAACTATTATTAACCTTATCCGTACGTCGTGTTTAGTATCGCATTCATACGACGTGGGGAACTCTGTGTCACCACTTTCCAAAGAGGAAATTTACTCCTTAATCCGATCCGTTCGCTTCGCATAGCAGTCTGTCAAAACGATTTTTTGAGAAATACTAAACGTTTCAAAGAAATCTTCGTTCTAGAAGTATTGCAAAATGTGAAGAATACAACCCCAGGGCTACAAAATGACCCCAGGGCGTACGGATAGGGTTAAGGATTTTATGACGCTTTGAAACAAGATTTGGAAATTTGGTGGCACAAAATGAAGTACAAAAATTTGGCAGAATCAGGGCGAAAACTGATTCACAAAAATGACCGCTGATTCTGGACTAACAAAGATAGCACAAACATTTAAAAAAGTCTCTGAAACAGAAAGCCACGCTCTATCCTATACTCCTAATTTCAGTGCCCTTGGAGAAGTTTGAAAACTTCACAGAAGTGCCTAGTTAACCTATGTTTGAAAACTCCTGCTTGTTTTCCTTTCCACCCACCCACCCATTTTGCATCTTTCTCCCCTTGGAGCTTTCTTTTGAGCATCTTTAGCTGAGTTGGTATCATGCCAGAATATGGTAGGGATCATAACGGTGTGTTCCTGAACGTCAGTTCTTTAAGGTGCTTGTGGAGTGAGTGATGAAGGAAGACAGAGTAGGAGAAGCTGAGGGGGGGGGGGGGGTGGTACGTTTTACGGCCCTCGCAACTGCATAAGGTCAGATGAGCGCGCGGGGCATATTAAAAATATTCAGTTGGTAGGACATTTTGAATTTTGCACGGGTGACGGCCGAAGCCTACTCTTATCAATTTTAGACCACCAAGGGATCTTTAACGTGCAACTTGCACACGGGCCCTCCGAGATTTTTTGCCCTTGTCCGAGAAGGCTAGGTGTACATATTTTTCTACCATCAGATCAGGGGTGTGACTGAAAGACAGCAGTAAGAAGAAGCCAAGGAGTAGCAGTAGAAAGGCTGCAGAAAGAGTCAGGAGCCCAGAGGAGGGGGCAAAGGAGATGAGGGAGTTGAGGCAGAAAGAAGAGACGAAAGCAGATGACAGAACATTGCTAGAAAGCAGGAAAGGAAGTGAAAGGAGACAATTTTACAGAAGAAAAGTTTTCTGTCGCTACCTAGATTCGAACCCGGGACCTTTGAATGGGAGGCAAACACCCTAACTTCTAGGCCCCGAGAGCCCCCTAGAAAGAGTTAGTTTTTTAAAGTTTTTTTAAAGTTTAGTATGGGGTTTTACGGCGCTCGCAACTGCATAAGGTCAAATGAGCGCCGAAACACAAGTTAGTTTTTTTATACGTAGTTCACTGCACGGCTGTGTACGGTTATTTGATCTTAAACGTTAAAATAGAAAATTTTGGTGTAGATATATAATATTTTCTCCCACACGTCTTCAGCTACTTTGTCATCCACGTCACAGATAGACGTCCGCAGACAGAGATGTCCGCAGACAGAGATGTCCACAGACAGAGATGTCCACAGACTCCAGCACAGAGAGATGTTTAATTTCCTGGGAGGGGCGGGGAGACTTTGAGGCAGTAGAGCGGAGTAAGAGTAATGGCACTTGCAATACAATAAGGTCATATAAGTGCCGAAGATTAGATTCTGTTTGTTTTTGTAAGTGTTTTACGGCGCTCGCAGCTGCATAACGTCATATGAGCGCACGGGACACATTAAACTTTTTCAGTTGGTAGGAAATTTTGAATTTTGACCGGGTGGCGGCAGAAGCCTACTCTTATCGATGTTAGACCACCAAGGGATCTTTAACGTGCGCAACTTGTACACGGGCCCTCCGAGATTTTTCGCCCTTGTCCGAGAAAGCTAGGTGTAGATCTTTCCTACAAGAAGATCAGGGGTGTTGCTGAAAGACAGCAGTAAGAAGAAGCCAAGGAGTAGCAGTAGAAAGGCTGTAGAAAGAATCAGGAGCCCAGAGGAGGGGGGGGGGGGGGACAAAGGAGATGAGGGAGTGGGGACAGAAAGAGGAGACGAAAGCAGACGACAGAACATTGCTAGAAAGCTGGAAAGGAAGTGAAAGGAGACAATTCAGAGAAGAACAGTTTTTCGGTCGCTACCCGGATTCGAATCCGGGACCTTTGAATGAGAGGTCAACACCTTAACCTCTAGGCCAATAGCAACCTCGCAGCCCATTTCAAAGCGTTATACAGAAATCAGAAACAGCTGAATATATCACCATCCTCCCACGGTATTGGAGCAGAAGAGTCATAGCTTTGTTTTAAAAAACCATAGCCTTCCATTAAATAATCTCTACCAGTGGAAATTAACGAATTCTCCCTTATGTGAGAGGTGTAACTCTCATGAAACTGAAGATGAATTTCACTTTATTTTCTATTGTTCACACTTTGTCCTTCAAAGGAAATTGTTAATCCCTCCCAGCCTGACTCGGCCTAGTGACAGAAATAAGCAATGTTTGACCCATGATAAGAGATATGTGCACAACCTGTACTTATTCATTATGGAAACTTTTATCAAATGAGTGTTTTATGTGATGTAATGAGAGCCCATGGCCTTAAACACTGAATAAACTTACAGAAATCAGAATGGCGAATTCCCACACTTCATAGCATGCATGTTGCTACACAAAAGTAGTTGCAGGTGAAGAAAACAGAATTTACAAAGAAAAGCAGTAAAGAAGACCAGGCGAGACAAAATTAGAAAAACAGTCATCAGAGAAATGGTGGGCGCAAATGATGTCATGCATCACATACAACACCAAAGAATCAAATGGTTCGGACATCTCATGCGATTACCAACACACCACCCAGCACACTCATGCGATTACCAACACACCACCCAGCACAAGGTGCCTACATAAAAGAAATCGATGACAACGTCTTGTTTGTTTTAGTAGAGGTTTTACGGCGCTCGCAACTGCATAAGGCCAAATGAGCGTCAGAAGAATCGAGGTGTTACAAGATAGTAACAAACAAAAACAAAAAAAAAGAAAGGGGTGAAAAGGACGATATATGTTTGATAGAAAAGCAAACCACACCAGAGCACCCACCAACCACCCACAACCAACATCTCATCCGAAAGACGACGTGGAGTTCCCCCCACAAAACCTCTCCTTGCACTACTACAGATTATAACTCACATCTCTCGCGTGTCTGACAGTGCCACCGCACAAATTTCTCTGCAGCTGCGATCTATGGGCCGACAAATGAAGAGAGCCAAGAGTACATAGAGTCCCATACATAGAACCTCTACACCCTTGCTCTAAACCTTGCTAGCTACGGCATTTCATGTAACTCCAGTAACAGTAATTCTAGTAACAGTTACTGTAGTAACAGCCACGGCGTTTCATGTAACTCTAGTAACAGTAAGTCTTGTAACAACTACGGCGTTTCATGTAACTGTAGTAACAGTAAGTCTAGTAACAACTACGGCGTTTCATTTAACTCTAGTAACGTTAAGTCTAGTAACAACTACGGCGTTTCATTTAACTCTAGTAACAGCCACGGCGTTTCATGTATATCTAGTAACAGCTACATCGTTTCATGTAACTAGTAACAGTAACTCTTGTAACAGTAACTGTAGTAACAGTAACTGTAGTAACAGCTACGGCGTTTCATGTGACTCTAGTAGCAGCTCTACGGCGTTTCATGTAACTAGTAACAATAACTGTAGTTAGTAACAGTAACTGTAGTAACAGCTTCACCGTTTCATGTAACAAGTAACAACTACATCGTTTCACGTAACTCTAGTAACACACACCAAATACATACACAAGAACACACACACGCACACACACACACACACACCATCATAATTACTTAAAAAAGTTTAAGACGGAACGAACAAACGAAGATACACACACCCATATACGCTTGAACACTGACTCGCCGGCGTGAGGAGCAGCAGGAGCAGGGGGAGGAGGGAGAGGGAGAGGAGGGACAGGAGGGAGATGCAGTCTCCTGTCTGCTTCAGCAAAGTATCTCCTTTGTGCTGGCACAAACGCTCCCCGTCCCTGCTGCTGCTGCCCGAGGAAGTCCATCATGTCCCTGGCTGTCAGGTTGATGACAAAGAAGTTGAAGGGCTGTGGGAGAAGAAAAAGAAAAATTATTATTATTATTATTGTTATTATTATCATTATCATTATTATTATTATGACTATGACTATGAATACTATTATGATTATGATTATGATTATTATTATTACTATTATTATATTATTACTATTATTATTATTATTATTATTATCATTATCATTATCATTATTATTTAAATTATGTGTTTTTACATCCCCACCTAAATAATCTATAATATCATTTAGAAGCGGACTTCCTATCTGAATAAAAACGGGAAACAACAGGTTGCCAAGAGCCATGGGGAAGATTGGAACATTAATCTTGTGTCAGATGCACTGCCGATCTGACCACCTGGAATTTACCAGACTTTGGACAGACCGGAAGGAACTAGTTTAAAAGCACTGATTCGAAGAAATTGTTCTCCGTCGTTGGTCCTAACAGAATTCTCCATTTTAATGTAAAAATACGGATAATACTGTTATACAAAACGATAAAAATGTCTGTTGTTACTATTGGATTTTGACCACGAATTCTCAAGTTCAACCATACAGTAAAATACGTTGGAGTCCCTCACGTTCCTGTGACCTTAATGCAGTTGCAGTAGCAGTAAATCTCTTACCTCTAAAAGAAACAAGAAAACCAAAAAGAGGGAATGAAAACAATAAAAAAAAAAAATAAAAATAAATAAATCCAAACCATTTCCATGAAAACAAAAAACTTACCCCATTAGGTGGTGGAGCGTGTGGATGCCAGGCAGCTGGTGCCGCAACCAGCACGGGAAACATCCCTGGTATATTTGTTCCTGGCCAGACAGGGGGAGCGTAGTCGACACCTGGAGGTGCGTGGTCTACTGCAATAGGAAGATGACGGACAGGCAGAGGAAAGGGAAGAAGAGGCAGATGACCTGCAACAGGTGCAGGATTGACAGGCAGAGGAAAGGGAAGAAGAGGCAGATGACCTGCAACAGGTGCAGGATTGACAGGCAGAGGAAAGGGAAGAAGAGGCAGATGACCTGCAACAGGTGCAGGATTGACAGGCAGAGGAAAGGGAAGAAGAGGCAGATGACCTGCAACAGATGCAGGATTGACAGGCAGAGGAAAGGGAAGAAGAGGCAGATCACCTGCACCAGGTGCAGGATCGACAGGAAGGTCACCTGCAATAGGTGCAGGATCGACAGGAAGGTCACCTGCACCAGGTGCAGGATCGACAGGAAGGTCACCTGCACCAGGTACAGGATCGACAGGCAAAGGTAAGGCAGCAGGTACAGGATCGACAGGCAAAGGTAAGGCAGCAGGTACAGGATCGACAGGCAAAGGTAAGGCAGCAGGTACAGGATCGACAGGCCGAAGTAAGGGAAGAACAGGAAGAGGTGCAGGGCCGACCACGACCTCCAGGGCCGCTACTTCGTTTCCAGGAGCAGGAAGCTCATCTTGTCGCCCTGAAAAAGAAAAACACACGGTGCGTGAGTGAAACTCTCTTCACAACCCTGCATCTTCTGGTGGCTTTTTGCTTCACGGGGTTTTGCTGTAACTATTTTACGAGATACTTTTTTTTCGTAAGAGCTTTTAGTTGTAGTTTTAGTAAGTTTTACGGAACTTGCAACACAATAAGGTCATATAAGTGCCGAAGATTAGATGTTACAGGAGAGTAAAAAACATAAAAAGGAGGAGATCAGGACGATAGATGTTCGATAGGAAAGAAGAAGCAAACCACACCTACCAAAGTACCCGCCAACCACCCACTTCATAAGCGTTTTATGGCACTTGCTTCACAATAAAGTCATAAAAGTTCCGATGATTAGAGGTTTTGATTGATTGAGTAGGCGTTTTACGGCACTCTCGACCCAATGAAGATTATTTTGTTTATTTTTTTAAATAGTAGAGGGATTTACGGCGCTCGCAACTGCATTAGGTCATATGAGCGCCAAGGGTTCGGTGTCATCAGAGAAGTCTTTATATGGAATCAGACTTACTCTGCTCACCTCTCTAGCTTCAACAGCACAAGGACTGCCTCAACTATCAAGGCACCCCGGAAGTAGCAGGTCTCAAAAGAGTGACAAACATACAAAAGAAGTAGAGGAAAATAACAATAGCAAGGATTAGGAAAGAAAAAGCAGCAGTTCCCTGTTGTAGATCAGGCACAGTTATGAGCGTGACAATTCTACTGTGCTTGAACTAGAAATATCCCCCCTTTGGGAATGGCCTAAAGACACTACAGTCAGTGGCACTGACATTCTCATTCTCACTCTCACTCTCACTCTCACTCTCACTCTCATTCTCACTCTCACTCTCTCACTCTCTCACTCTCTCTCTCGCTTTCTCACGCTTCGCTCTCTCTTTCTCTCACTTATGCGTGCGAGCGCGTGCATACACACACACACACACACACACACACACACACACACACACACACACACACACTCACACACACACAAGCATATACACACACAAGCACATACACACACGATGCTAATCAATCAGAAATGTAGCAAACAATTTAAAATTTATATTTTGCTGATAAAGCCAAATGAGAATATAAAAGTCTTACTGTGCTGCCTGCAGTAGGGCTGCGATAGACGCCGCCTCCGTTTGCACAGTCGACGGCGTCCGCTGACAAGTGTCAGTTGCTGGCATTGTCCAAGCTGAAAACAAAATTAAAGAACATTTTAGTTAGTTATAGTAGAGGTTTTACGGCGCTCGCAACTGCATAAGGTCATATGAGCGCCGAAGATTAGGGGTGTTACAAGAGAGTAACAAACATAAAAGAAGGGGAGACAAGGACGATAGATGTTTGATTGGAAAGAAGCAAACCACACCGGAGCACCCGCCAACCACCCACTAATAATATTTAAGAACAGATCCTAACTAATCAGCTTCTATTACAAAAAAGGCGAAATGAGAATGACAGTTTTATGTTGGAAAATGGAAGGCTCGCACCTGCCTAAGGTCATATGAGCGCGCGAAACAAGGTTTTTTCTCAACGGTTCATTTCTCTGCTTGATACTGGTCAATATTTCTATTTTAAAATTTTTAAACGCTAAAAATCGAGTGTAAATAGGCTTTAGATTTAAATTTAAATTTAAAACAACTTTTTAAATAACACTTAATTTCGAACAATCTATTTCAAAACTTTTATAAAATCTAAATTAAATCCCATTAAATTCGGAATATCAGGTATACAATGTTGGAAGTAAAAAGTGGAAATTATATATACATGTTGATATCTAAATAAAAATGGGAAACAACAGGTTGCCAAGATCCATTGGGAAGATTGGAACATTAACTTTGTGTCAGATGCGATGCCCATCTGGTGACCTGGAATTTGCCAGACATTTTTGGAGACCTGAAGGAATTACTTTTTTACGCACTTATTTGAAGAATTTGTTCTCCTTCATTGATCCTAACAGAGGTCTCAATGTTTGGTCTTTACTCTAAAAATACGACCTTAACGCAGTTGTAGGCGCTGTTTACCTCTAAAACAAAAGAAAACCAAGAAAGAGGGGAAAACATTTTAAAAAGAACAAAAAAAAAAAGAATAAATATAGAATCAAAAAAACTTTACAAATCCCACAACAACAACAAAAACTTACGTCGTTCGCTGCCAGTGGTTGATCAGCCTGCAACGCCGGCATTGCAAGCTCAGGACGGTCAGGGTGTAAGTCCACTTGCATAGGATCCGCTTGCAACACCGGCATTGCAGGACCCGCCTGTCCCACAGGCATTGCAGGATCCGCCTGATCCGCCTGTCCCACAGGCATTGCAGGAAGCATAGGGGGCTGGTCTCGGCCAGCTTCAGGCCGACCTGCAAAAGAAAAACATACTGTGCGTGAGTGAAGCTCTTTACAACCCTGCATCTTCTGGTGGCTTTTTGGTTTGGTTAAATGCCATGGAGGTATGCTGGACATGGTAAAAGGCTCAATTATGTCTTCAGAAAAATCAATGTCTTTGAGATCGTTACAGGAAGGTCAC